AGAGATGGCAGCAGGATGCACTATGAGAAGAAGGCAGGCCGGCCGAGGCAGTGTTATACTCTGGGCAATGTTCTGCTGGGAAACCTTGGGTCCTGGCATTTATATGGATGTTACTGTGACATGTACCACCTTCCTAGAGATTGTTACAGACCACGCAAACCCCTTCGTGGCAATGGTGTTCCCTAATGATAATATCCTCTTTCAGCAGGATAATACACCCTGTCACACTGCAAAGATTGTTCAGGATTGGTTTGAAGAACATGACAAACCGTTTAAGGTGTTGCCTTGGCCTCCAGATTCCACAGATCTTAATCTGATTGAGCAGCTGTGGGATATGCTGGAGCAACAAATCCGATCCATGGAGGTCCCACCTCACAACTTAAAGATCTGCTGCTAATGTCTTGGTGCCAGATACCACAGGATACAATCAAAGGTCTTATGGAGTCCATGCCTTGGTGCATGTGAGCTGTTTTGGCAGCACGAGGGGGACCTACATGATATTAGGCAGGTGACAGTATAGTCACCAAACAACTTTAGCTTAATGAAGCAGTTTTGGTGTATAGATCATGTCCCTGTAGTCTAATTGCTTAATTCTCTACCTGTTAGGGGTTAAATCACTTTGTTTATACAGCCCTAATCACACCTCCCTGCATGTGACTTACACAGCCTTCCTAAACACTTCCTGTAAAGAGAGATCTAATGTTTAAAATCATTTTATTGCAGTCTGTTTAATTTAGAATTTCTTATTTCCTGCACTGTTTATAGCTTGGTAGACCCTAGAGGAGCCTCCTGTGTTTGATCCAATTTCAATCTACAGAGCAGGAGATAAAAATGTCTAAAGTAAGTTAAGATGTGATTAAAAATGAAAACCTTTTTATTTTCATGGAAGCTGTGTCAGTCACAGCCAAGAGAGGTGTGGCTAGGGCTGCATAAACAGAAACAAAAGTGATTTAACTCCTAAATAGCAGTGAGACTGCAGGGGCATGATGTTTACACCATAACTGCTACATTAAGCTAAAGTTGTTTTGTTGACTATAGTGTCCTTAATTTGAAATGTATTTTGTTGGATATTTATCAAACTGGAATCATAGCATATCATGGCATGGAGAATGTTTCCAGTTTAGCTATGTGGAATTTTACTTCTAATTTATATTGAGTTCTTATATTAGTTGCATGTATTGCTGCATGTTCCCCTTTTCCCCCATGGGAAGCAACTTTTGGAACTCATGTGAAGAGAAAGATTTCACATATAGCACACAGTTTTCTTAAAGTGATTTTTCAGGGATTCAGTTTCAGCACCATGGACAGAGGATGAAATAGCTTCAGCTCCTGATTAATACAACCTGCATCACCACTTACAACCTGGGCCTAGCAGAGATGATACAGACCTGCTGGGCCTAGCAGAGCTTATATAGACCAGATGGACCTTGCCGAGAGCTGATATAGACCGGCTGGGCCTAGAAGAGAACTGATACAGACCGGCTGGGCCTAGAAGAGAGCTGATATAGAATGGGTGGGCCTAGCAGAGACCTGATATAGACGGGCTGGGCCTAGCAGAGAGCTGATATAGATCAGCTGGGCCTAGCAGAGCTGATACAGACCGGCTGGACCTAGCAGAGAGCTGATACTGACCGACTGGGCCTAGCAGAGAGCTGATACTGACAGACTGGGCCTAGCAGAGCTGATACAATAAGGCTGGGCCTAGCAGAGAGCTAATACAGACCGACTGGGCCTAGCAGAGCTGATACAGACCGGCTGGGCCTAGCAGAGCTGATACAGACCGACTGGGCCTAGCAGAGCTGATACAGACCGGCTGGGCCTAGCAGATAGCTGATACAGACTGGCTGGGCCTAGCAGATAGCTGATCCAATAATGCTGGGCCTAGCAGAGCTGATACAGACCAGCTGGGCCTAGCAGAGAGCTAATACAGACCGGCTGGGCCTAGCAGAGCTGATACAGACCAGCTGGGCCTAG